CAATGGTGGAACTTGTCTTCTACAATGATTGAGAATGAAATTTCCAAGCTAATAATTATAATCTAACTAATGATTTGAGAATATTTGTGTTTCTACAATTACAAACTAAGAGAAAAGCTCTAAAAACTTGGGTGCCGTACAATTGAGCAAAGGGGGGTATTTATATGACCCTCAAAATAAAAAGGACGGAGAAAACAAGAGTCGGGCACGGCTACAGGTGTGCACGGATGTGCCAGGGGTGGCACGGACGTGCAGTCTGAGTGGCACGGACGTGCCACCCTAAGCACGGCCGTGCTGAAGCAGAGGTGGAGAATCAGTTTGCTACTGATTTGCCCAGGATATTCTGCACGGACGTGCTGGCTGACTTGCACGGACGTGCTGAAGTCTTGCACGTCCGTGACAAATCAGGCAGTAGCTATGTTTCTCTGGGACACTCCTGCACGGTCGTGCAGGGTCTTCTAGGCCCTTCTCTTCACATTTTCTTCGGTTTTGCTCCTTTGTCACGGCTTTTAACCTCGGTTTATCATCCATATGCTTCAAATGATTGTCTTTAGACCTAAAAACTCAACAAAAACACTAACAACCCGTAAAGCAAGGGATACACAAAAATTGAACGAAAATAGGATAGAAGTGAACCAAAATGCTAATATATCAAGTAAACAAGGTTCAAAATCACCCTAAAATCATATCAAATAACAAGTTATCAAATCCCCCCAAGCTAAGTTTTTACTAGTCCTCGAGCAAAACAAGCATGTCAAACCAAGAAGGAAGATTACTTGCTAATGATCAAACCAAGGAGAGAAAATACAAACACAAATCCGCATGGCAAGAACCATAAACACTTTTAGCACAAGTGAAAGCAATTTAAACCCCTAAGTCGCTTAAGAGGACGAGTTTTTATTTCGTGAGGGTTTCCCTTGAGCTTAACCCAAAACTCACATAAACCACACCAAACTATCATAACACATCGTTATCATCAAAGTGGTCAAAACACACCAAACCAATGTTTTTATTGCCCAAGTCAACTCATCGGGATATAAATCACAAGCAAGACAAGTGAGCAACTTTCAAGAATTACTATTCATACAAATGTGCACATGAGTTGGGGGTAGAGAGGCGAACTAAGCAAGGTTGCACTAGGATACTTCCTTATACCTTTTACTAGTTCATTAGAGCACGTCTAGATATTCCAAAGTTGCAAAGCCCTCTTTCGGTTATAAAATCTCAAAATGCAAGTCCACCTCCCAAAATGCACTCCCAAGCCCTTTCAACTACGCTATAATTCAGGAATTTACACAAGAAACATCACAATAGATAGTGTGTGGGAGGCATCCACAAATTAACCTCTAGAAAAGAAAAAGTGAATTTTTTTTTTGAGAATTTGGAGGAGTTTTTGACTTCCTCTTCTTTTTCTATTTTTATTCTTTTTTTTTTCCTTTCTTTTTTTTACATTCATTGCCCTCGCCTCTTTTAACTGTGAGCGGCTATTTCTTTTATTCGAAACATGTGGCTTATTATGCCACTTATTACACAAGATACACACATAACTAATTCCCTAGTAGAGTTTCATTTTGGGGAGGAAGGGAGACACACCAAGGGCACAAGGGACCGCAATTTGATTCAAACATATCCTACTTTGGGAAAATTTGACAATATCCTATGCTAGACGTGCAATTGAGCATTCATCGGTTTTCATTTCATATACACTAGTGCAATCAAGATTAATAAGCCTCTAAATGACCCCAACTCTTGCACACACCCTTCTAAAAGAACTTTTACTCATCACTCAAGAGTCAAGCAAGCAAATCATATAAGCATCGTCATTTGAGTCTCATCCAAGGGCTAATTAATTTTTTCGTTTTTTCAATTTTTTTTTCTTTTTTTTTTTTTGGGTTAAGGTTACTAGAAAGAAAGAAAAGATAGAAAGTTAGGAAAACTAAGCTAAGCATATAAAAAAAATTAAAACACAACTATATATCTAAATAAATAAAAAGAGAAGAGAAGAGAAGAGAAGTATTCACACATTAAGAGATTTGGATTTAGGGTGTTGTATTTCAAAGGGAGCAAATTTGGATGTTAAGGGGATTGGATGTTAGGGGAAGGAACAAGCAACATGCAAAGTATTTACCAACAAACACATACAAGAACCAACATAAGAACCAAAGAGGAAGACTCCCCCCCAAGCTATCATAAACATTGTCCCCAATGTTAAAACAATTAAAGCACAAGAAAGGGGATAAAGAGACTAACTCATTGGCTCGGGCCTCCTTGGGAGCTTGAGCCCTCGGGGTACCAATGCCGGTAGACATTCCGGAATTCACCCAATTCCGACCGAAGACCCTCGAAGCTTGTCCTCATGTTGTCGTACGAGGACCTCATGTCTTCGTGAGACTTTCTCATAGTCTCGAACTTGGTGGTCATCCGGTTGAACTTGTCGTTGATCATCTGCATTTGTTGCTCTAAGGTGAGGGGTGGGTTGCCCTCACCCATGCCTTGACCTTGGTACCCTTGTTGGTGCTCGTATTGTTGTTGTTGTTGGAATTGTTGTTGTGGAGGTTGTTGTGGTGGTGGTTTCTGTTGCTCTTCTTGCTCTTGATCCTCTTCTTCGTCTTCACCGGGAGCCCAAGGGTGGTCCCTCTCAAAGACCCAGTTGGTCTCATCGTAGATAAAGGTCCGCTCCGGGTCGGGGAGGTAGGCGTAGGACTGCCCACTCACGTGCCACAAGTAGGGGTGCGACCCTTCCACGTCCTCTATCCACCTCATCGTCCTCAGCGACTGCGTATCAATCTGCGTCGCACTTGGGCAAACATCCTGATTTGCAAAATCAAGGTTAAGAGCAGCAACAATAATATTGATCATATCACCTATGGTGATGTTACCGGACCCGGTGGCAACATCATCTAGGTGGTCTACAAACCAAGATCCTACATCTAAGGCCGTGCTACCCTCACTCAAGTGCCATAGGAAGTGAAGCTCCCTAGTGGACACTACCCCTGAACTATCACCTCTAGCGAACCTCGTGTTCTCTACGGTGCGCTGTGACATCCTAAAGGCGGGGTGGATGATGGCCGTGGCCTTATCGGTCCTAAGGTTGTAGTTGAAGAGGCCGGTGATTTTCCTCCAAAACTCGCCCGCATTATAGCTACGGGGTGGCCTATCTTTTGGCCCGATGGTTCCGTTCGTAGGCCACCCAAAAGCTTGGTTCACCCTGTTAATGGTCATGTTCTGTTGGGTGTTCATGAGTTGAAAGGTAATGCGGCGGGGGTTCTTGTTGGTGTCCCATTGGACTTGGAGGGTGGAAAGGAACTCAAGAGTTAATCTCTTGTAGGTCGAGGCATGCAATTCTAGCAAACCACCTAGGCCACATCCCTAGAATAGCATTCTAATGTCCTCCCCTACCCCCAAGGACTCGACCACATCCTCATTGTAGAATTTGGTAGGCCTAATTCTCCTCCTACTAATTCTTAGAAAATTGTTCGAAAAGGTTTGGTTATTGAATATTATTCCCATTGTATCCACTTGTGGTGGATCAACGGGGGGAGGAGAAGGGTTGCGGTACCTAGCGTCCGTGTTTCTATGTCGATTTCTTCTAGACATGGTCGGTCTTTATGCAATGCAATTAAACAAACCACAACCAAGTAATCAACACAATAAAAACACAAGAGGCACTAAGTCCACTAAGACACAACCAAAGCTCAAACAAGGCCTACAATTACAACACAATCAAGCCAAGCTCTAAGTCTCCCACCTAAGACAAGTAAATCACCAAGCAGCAAAGACCATTTCAATAATGCATCCGCAATAATTCTTCATCAATTTCATGCAATATTATCAAACAAATCAACACAACAATCCACCTAAACAAGTATGTTCTTCCTTCACCAAAATCAACTCCTTAATTCCATACTTACAAAAATTTCAATTCTCAAAACACACCGAACACCACCAAATTCACTAAAACTTTGTAATTATCAACTATCAATCACTCACAACCAATTCAAACAAACTTTCTCAAGCAATTTCATGCGAAAATTCAAGAATTTAAACATAAAATTAGTGAAAGGGAGGAACGATTATACCGAGCTTATCGTGGGTGTTAAACCCGCAATTGAACCTTTCTTGCCTTCCTTTTGGTTGCTTGAGAACCCTCCTTCAACCAATTGCTTCAAAATTAGCTCCCAAAGAAAACCCCCAAATTGATTTTTCAAAGTAAGGGTTTAAGTTTTTGGTTGATTTTTGGGTTTGAATGTGATGAAAGGAGTAGTAGTTTGTGAATTTGTTGAAAAGGAGTGAAGATTTTGGTATAAAGAGTTGAATTTGGGTGAGAATTTGGGTGGGAATTGAGAATTGAGTGAGTTTTGAGGAGGGGAAGAGGAGTTTTTAGAGAGAGGAGGAGTGAGAATCGTGCTTGAGAAATGTGAGAATGAGTGATTTTTTTTAATTCTCTAACCCCGTGCTTATTACATCCAAAGTCAAGGCTGCACGGACGTGCCAAATTCGGCACGGACGTGCAGCTTCGAGCAGAATTAAAGGGCTTACTGCCTCATTTGGCACGCCCGTGCTGACTTTCACGCACGGACGTGCTGATTTTGGCACGTCCGTGCTGAACTTCAAAGGTTGGTTGCTCCATTTTTGCTCGTTTCTGCCTGATTCTGCACGAACGTGCGATGTTCTACACGTTCGTGCAGACCTGATGCTGCACATTTTTCTCTTTTTTTTTTTGAATAATAATAGTAAGGCATAATAATAATAAAATTACTTTTATTACCATTATTATTATTATTATTATTATTTTTAAAATTCCCTATTACTTCACTTTCACAAAAACCTTTTCTTACTTCTCTTTTCATCAACACCTACAAAAGACACTGAGAAAAAAGTTAGTAATAGTAAGAGTGATGGAAATTAAGTAATAGTTTATAAGAGAGAGATAGTTGAGAAACTCGGGTTGCCTCCCGGAAGCGTTCTTTTAACGTCACTAGCTTGACGACATTGCGGGATCAATGAGAGTAGGGAACATCAAACTCATCAAGGTGAACAACCTTGGCTTCCTCATGCACAAAACCGTCAAAGTATGCCTTAAGCCTTTGGCCATTCACTTTGAACGGTTCACCATTGTCATTTGAGATTTCTATCGCTCCATATGGAAATACCTTCTTAACGGTGAAAGGTCCACTCCATCTTGACTTAAGCTTACCCGGAAATAACTTCAACCGGGAATTGAATATTAGGACCTTGTCACCTTCCTTAAACTCCCTTTTGCTAATATGCTTGTCATGCCAAGCTTTGGTCTTTTCTTTGTAGATCCTTGCACTCTCATATGCATCCAACCTTAATTCTTCCAAGGCATGGAGGTCAAGCAACCTCTTCTCACCGGCGCTTTGAAGGTCAAAATTCAATGTTTTGATAGCCCAATTGTAGACACCCATTTGTGTCTCCCCAAAACCAAACCCGGTGATGAGTGCCTTTCATGTCAAATCATAATCGAATGAAACGAAAGCGTGGAAAGGTCTAGTGTTGCGGAAAGTTTTATTTCTTTTCTCCTCTCCCTGTTTTTGAAAACTTTATTTTAAGAAAACAGCCAATCCAGTTTGGTGTCCATGATATGGGTCCAATAGTGGTGTAGTTGGATGGGGCTTGCAAAGACCTTTCCAATGATATATTATAAGCCCAATTCCGATGAATATTGAGGAAGTTATGGCCAATTTACTAAACTGGGCCCGGTATGAGCTTTATGTACGGCCTAATGATCTAGGGGAGGGCCTAATATAATTTATCATTCCTAATGCAATTAGGAATGGTTTTAGTCTTCTAGAATATTCTAGAAGGTTTTTTCATTCCTAATTCAATTAGGACTCTTCAGAGTTTTAATCAAGATCAAATATCATTTTCGATGGAATTATATTATTTTATCTTCCAGTACGGGAAATTTATCAGATTTTCGAAAACGCGTTGAAAATCAGTTTGGCGTCCAACTCCAGGCCTTGGCGCCTGGAACTAGGATTGGCGCCAGGCGCTAGCCATTGGCGCCTGGCGCTAGCCACTGGTGCTGGCGCCAACTAGCCAGGGCTGGCGCCAATGTTGTTTTTCGATCTTCAGACTCTGTTTTGTTAAATTATCTTTTTTGGATGATTTTCTCTATAAATATCGTGTCAAAATTCCGTTTTGATTCATCAAGAATCATCAATTCTCTTCTTCATTCATCAACTTTCAATAACATTAATTCTTTAGCATTCTTTTCTTTTCTTCAATTCTTTCTTGCTTTTTAATACAAAATTCCGCATTCAAAAGATCTAGAAACACCTAGCCATATTCGAAGTTGCCTTCTCCCTAGACGTGAAAGGTTTTAATTTCTGAGGGTTTGGTCCCAAATCTCTCTTTCAATTATTTAATTTAATTGCTTTGATTATTATTTTTCCTTGAAGTTACTAACGTGTGTATTTTGTTATTAGAAAGAGGTACGAGGCATCCAAGTAAGTACTTTAATTGATTAATTGATCTTATGATGTAGAAATCATGTTTACATTGTTATTATGATATTCCTAGTATCATGTTTAGGGTAACTTTAATATCAAGTATGATTAAAAGTACGATGCTTCCTATGTTCTTCCTAATATTAATTCATGTTAGTATCATGTTAGGGCTAAAGATTTGATTTTTATTGCTTAGTGACATGCTAGGATTTGTTATTAATCTTGTTAGTATCATGCCTAGGATCTTGCTATGCTTTAACATGATTATGATTATTGATTATGATTGATATTATTATTATTAATGATGTTGATTATTTATTATGTTGCTTGATATGCATATTTTTTATATTTATTGCTTGATCACCTTTTATTGCATGTTAAAGGGAATTGGTATTTGCAACCATGCTTAATAAGATAATTAATAATCTTGTTAGGGTTAATTGTGATTATAATTCAAGTGATCACCAATAATAGTTTATTTGTGCATTAAATTCAACCAACATAGATTAAACAAGTTTAGGGTTAATCCTATTGATTGTATGTTAGTCAGAAAGCGCACATGAATACGAGCAGAATAAAGTAGAGGCCTATTATTAGGGCAGGTTCAATCTCTTTTAGGTTGGATTTGTACCATAATCCCCGAACCCTTATTTGGTTCATGACCTTATGGAGTTGACGATCTCTTGGATCGTTAAGGGGTGTAACCTTCACCTCGTGAATGGTTTACAAGTTCCTTAAAAAAACTTGTTGGCGACTCTTTTGCTCTATCTTCTTCCCTTTTAGACGCCACCGTACTTTAGTGTATGATCACAGTGGGGTTCAAGCTAGTGGGATTTTAAAGGCTTGAAATTATTCCCTACAGTTTTTGGCGACTCCACCGGGGAAGATTTCTATTTTAATTCCTGAATTTGTTTCAACAATGATCTAGAATGAGTGGATGAGACTCGAAAAGTTCTAAGTATTTCATGTGCGTAATTTTGATTAACATTATTGTCATATGCATAAAAAGGTTCTCATTGGAAAGACCATCCGTAATGAGTTAAAAACATAGGATTTTACACGTAGGAAATTTGAGAAATGTCTTTCACAACTAGGACTGAAATAACACTGCCCGAAACTGGATGATTTTATTGAGCACAGAAAGCTGCTGAGGCATGTGGGAAGTAGCGTCAGGGGCCAGAGCTTGGCGCCAAACTTTTAGCCGTAGCGCTAGACGCCAGTATTGGCGCCAGGCGCTACAGTTAAAAGTTGGCGCCAGTCTCTGTTTGCTGGCGCCAATTTCCCCCAATACCGAGCCAGAAATATGCGTTCTAATTTCGACCGGTTTTTCGTATTGTTTGCTCGATCCTACTTCCCGATTGAATTTTTTCTCACTTTTCTGAAACCCATATGTGTTCTACATATGGACATAACCCTCTTGGAATTCATGCTCTATCTACCCGATTGAACGCTCCTGGCAACAAAGGGTACATATGAGATGTTGAATTCACCAAACCATGGAAGTGAGTTTTTTCTAAAAACTCGCGGTGTCCCATCCACACGCGCTAACCCTTCACGGTTAGGCTTCTGCGCGGTGCATCCGGACAATTAACCATGGACCCTATTTGACTAAACCATATCCCGAACTTTAGAGAACTAGAGCCATGGTTAGGTTGCGAACTCATTGCATCATATTGTGCCTACTTGACTAATTGTGCATTATTTGTTGTGCATATATATTCTATGTCTCTCCTAACCGTTTGTTGATTTGTGTTGAGACTAAAATTAATGACTTAAAGAACTTTGCCTAATTAATTAATTAATTTGAGTCAATAAAGTTTTTTTTCATCGGAATTGACCTAGTACGACTTTAGGCATACCCCAGTTGACTAATAATACCAAAAACAGTCCCAGACCAAAGCTCCAATATTGGCGCCAAAGTCTAGGCTGTAGCGCCACAGTATAGTGTGTAGCGCCAGGCATTAACTAAAACGTCCGACGCCAATCACCATATTGTGACGCCAGTCCTGTCGCTTGGCCGACAGTTCTCGCTTGGCCGACAGTTCGGATTATTTGTCGAGTCATCACCTAATGTCTAATTAGTCAGTTTTCTGTTTAATTCGGTTAATTTTGCTGACTATAATGCTTAATTAAATTAATATTCGAGTTTAGGCACTAAGTCCCATGGTCTTACAAAAGAGTCCAAACATGTCACTTACACTCAATACACACACCAATACACATGTTTTGATCATGATTAAGAGAGTCTTTTGTGCGCGCCTTTTTTCGTCATTTTTTTAGGGGGGTAAGTCGGATATTAATCCTCCAATAAATAGTAATACTTAGTTCCCTAAAAATATGTACATTATTGTTGCCAAAAATATGCATATACTTTTTTAAAAATAAAAACCATAAAGTCAAGTTGATTCGAGTCAAGTAATTAAAACGCAAATTGGCTTAATTTACAGCGCGTGGTCAAGAAAGGAAGGACGATTAATCAAAGATAACCTCTTCGTACAAGTCCAACTTTTCGACAAACCTATAGCCCGCAAGAGGAAAGCAAGAGTCATAATGGAAACTCAAGAAGAAGTCAATGGTCTCAAGAACCAACTGGCTACTGTAACTGAGACACTGAAGCTTCTCGCACTTAAAATCGATGATCCCGTGAAGCAACAACAAATGGACCTCATGCAAGAGAGCCTAAGCAAGTTGTCTAGGGACTACAAGTTTCAAGAACTCACATCCCAAGGGGTCTCGGTGGATAAAGATCTTCTTCCGTAGAAGTTCAGTGCCAACGACATCCCAAAATTTAGGGCAATTGACAACCCTTACTTCCACTTAAGAGCATTTGAAACAATAATGAGTATCAAGGGTATCGATAAGAAAGTCTTCCCTTCTCTGTTCTCACTATCTCTCGAGACCGTTTACCAACAATGGTTCTTTTCTCTTGAAAAAGAAAAGACCTCTACTTGGGAATCCATAGCAAACACTTTCGTTGATAGGTACAAGTGCAACATTCAAGTCGAAACTGACCATAGAGAACTTGAAATCCTCAAACAGAAAGAGAATGAAGGCTTCACTGCTTTCTTTAATAAGTGGAGAGAAACCCCAACTAAAATGATCGAGGTACCAAGTGAAAAAGAGTCCGTGAGACTGTTCATTAAAAACCTCCAAGAAAAATATTCAAAACATCTTAAATATCAAAATAACCTTCATACCTTTAAGGCTGTTTATGATATTGGGATCAATATTGAAGATGACTTAGTTAAATCTAAAGCTGCCAACAATAGCTCCAACGGTGGTTGGAAAGGAAAGAAGAATGACAATCCTTCTTCTTCCAAAACCGCCCACTCAAATAATGTTAGCACCTTTAATCTAGGAGAAGTCCTCGCCATGAACAACCAAGGACAAAAGAAACCATTTAGGAGAAACTTCACTCCTATTGGCATGAGTTATGACACCGCATTTGATCGATTAAATGCAAAAGGTCTTATAACTCCCATTGGACCATTTGGGGATCCACCAGTTGAGAAGAGGTCGCCTAACTGGAACCCCAACGCACATTGCAAATATCACCAAGGTAGGGGCCATTCTACTGAATGCTGTTGGAAGCTTAAGGAAGCTATCCAAGACCTAATTGACAGTAACAAGTTGCCTTTGCCCCCTGCCAGTAAGAAGCCGAGTATTGACAATGCACCTCTAGCTCATACTTTGGCTATCTCCGATGAAGAAAGCGAAGTTGACCCCTCACCTCTCATTAAGCCTGTCAAAGCAACCAATGTCGAAGAAGGAGAAGAAGAAATCTTTTTTGATGTCAAAGATAACCTTCCAGAACCAGCAAACGAGGAAGACATACGATTGCTCACACTGTTTATGAGGAAGACATCGCAACTGTTACGTGAAACTCTCAAAATTATGAACGACCTTCACAAGAAATATGATGAACTTCCATGTCCAAAGGAAGAACCTAAAAGAGA